CCCCAAAACCCCAAAACCCCAAAACCCCGATAGGGATATCCTTTATATAAGTTCATTGATAAAATAAGGATAAATTTAATTGATAAATTAATATTTACAATTTAATGAACGAGGATCAAGTTGAAGAGAATATCGGATTTTCTGAATCTAGAGTTTCTACCAATGATTCTAATGAGGACAACGAAATTTATGGTGAATATAGATCTATATTAATTGAATTATAGGTTAAGAATCAGATTTTAATCAAGCAACTGAGCGATCCTAAGTCTACGATGAAAACGATTTAGAATTGAATACTCTTAATTAAAGAGAATAGGAGGATGAGGATAGCTCAGTGCCTTCAGAAGAATTTCGGCAATTACAAATGTTAGTTCTTCCACAAAGAAAAACTAATGCATCAGAGTCAATCTACAAAGGTCTCAACTGTTGCTTAAGTATCGTTACCAAAGGCTCCTATTACTTTGCTCTTCTAGTTTATCATTTATTCACCACGTTAATTATAGTAACTTTCACTTTTTTATCTAAATTTACTTTAGCTCACTCAAGCATTGTTGTTCTCAACAATAACATTACTTTTTGCATTTAATATCCTTACAATCGTAAGTTCATCAGTTTAATCCGTGTTAATTTCAGAATTTTTCAATCTGGCTTTTCGTAGTTTTGAGCATGCTCTTTCTCATTATCAAGATATGTCTGCAGCAATTATTCCCGGAATCAGTAAGTCCTTTAAGCATTAATACTACTCAATATTAACGATATTAGAATATATTAATTACATTTTATAGAGAGAGTTAAGAGAACTGTTTGACTTAAATAACTAGCCACGAAGACTCTCACATTATCATCAGAGAAGAAATTAGCAAAGGAGATAGTAGTATCCTATCATCAATCTGAATAGAAGAATTGAAAGAGAATAATAAGATAGGGAATAATGCTTGGTGAGATTAAGAAGGATGAGGTATGAAAACATTGCTTATGCAATTACAATCAAAGTTAATTGAAATGTATAGGGATATGAGAGAAAATCAAATAGAGATTCCTATGGTGGAATTGAATGGAGAAAGCTAAGTTTAAAATCAAAATAATAATCTGTAATTCACCTATAGTTTTCATAAGATTATCCTATAGTCCGATAGATGAAACTGATTCATCTCAGAGATTAGCCACTGAAGGCAATGAAAGCTTGTCTCCAAGCCCTATCTTCAGAGTCAACAGAAATTTTTCATCCAGAAGAAGACGTGACTATATTAGATCTGAAATATTGAGAATTTTAACTTCATCGAATTTCCACCCACACAGAGGATCGCAAGATGCATATATCCTTAGAAATTTGCACTTACTTTAAATGGCATCAGTGGGTAGAGATTTTAGCGAAAGAGACTATGAGATGTTAACCTCTCTTGATAACACTAATTTTAACAGAGGCTCGTCTCATAAAATTTAGCTTTTAATCTCTCAACTCCCCACCTATGTTTATAAAGCTAAATTTAGCCCTTCAAAATCGAGAGATCAGGATGAGCCATGCTAAACTGAAAATTTTACGACCTGTGCAGGCTAGGATTAAACTGAGGATGACTCAATTAGCAACAAAAATTAGTGCACGATTTGCATCGAAAACTTCGTTGATGAGGAGGTGATCAAGATTTTGCCCTGCTTCCATCAGTTTCACAATTCTTGCATCGATGATTGGCTGCTTAGAAAGACACTTTGCCCTGTTTGCAAATTTGACATTAAGACCTAAAACGATCAGTCTTATGAGTATGAATGATATTTCTTTAAAAGTTTGTAAATGATGAGTCTGTTCATTATTCGCAATACTTTATTGAAAGTGATATTAAGAAGTTAAAGCGATATATAAGCTGAAAGAAGCTGTGATTATATTTAACTTCTTATGGCTGAATAATTGTAATTATAATCAATTATCTACATCAATAATTTTAACACTCTCACTAAACTAGTTGTTCTTCACTCTGTTATTGTACAAACAGTACTAGCATTCTACAGACTTATGATTTCTATGCTTTTTACCACTTTTTACAGTGTTAAACTAAGCGCTCTAATCTATTCTATTATTACATCTCTTGCAAAACCTTTGTTTAATGTCAGAATCACTATAGAAAATTTTTAATAAAGTATGATTTCATACATCCTAAGTACCTATCTCTTTGCAATATTCTTCATCTCTGAGGCATAATAGCGTTACAGTGTAGAATCCTAAACAATGTCAGTAGCTTAAAGCAAGAACTGCATTCTCATTAGATATTCTGCATTCTAGACTCCCTTGTAATTGGTCTGCTTCGACTCTGGGTCGTATTTAATCGTCAGTATTTATGACTCCATTAAATTAAAGTGAAAATGTTAGTACTTAATCTATAAATCATTAATTAATTTAAACTTATTTTATTCAATCATCTGCCTAGTTAAAACATCTTCAACTGTTAGTTAACCTGTCTTCCTCGGCAGCAATTGCACCTCCTTTCTTAATCAGGGCTTATTTGAGGCTGTTTTGTAGTAGGAGAATCTCTTCATCCAGAGAGGTAATCTCTTTTTTGAGATTTAAAGTGCGCTCACTCATAAAATTAGACACTCCACTCACACTTCCGTTTTTATTTGTGGTTGAGGCTACTTAGCTGTCTGATATATTAAAGTTTGTGCCATTCATACAGTGTGTGAGTGTGTTTTACTTGTCTGTAGTGCAGTAACTCTCAGTTTAGTGTTTTGATTAAGTGATTATATTGTCCATCATGATTTGCTAATTAAACAAACCTTTCGGCTAGTGACAATCAATATTGATCAACTCAGTATCTGAGAAATTATTGTGCGATTCATAAAATGCTGGACTTTTAATTTTACTGCTTGTAATGTTCTTAGAAGAGCACTACTGTTATAGCTAATTCAGCCCATTTTAAAAGATGAATTCGTCATCAATCATCATTAGATTTTCTTTGTTGCTCTAGAGTTGAATGTTTTTCTACTGCTGATTCATTGTGTTGTAGATCTGTCTATTTTGACTAGGTTTGGAATCAATTTGATAATCTTGCTAAAATTTTTATGGATAAAGACTTAAGCTGTGAATTGAAGAAGACTAAGGAGCATTAGAGTTTGAGACTTGGAATGAAGTCTCTTCACTTGGATATTTGTTGATATTGACAACTTGGCTAGTATGATGATGCGAGAAGTTGTTTAGTTATGAATTGAGCAAGTTTTGGTTTTAAATTCTCAAAGCTTAGAGATGCTTCTCTAGTGATCTATCACTATTTAGATTGTTATTACTCAGACTGCTGCTACTGTCCTCACTGAATTCATTCATAACCATTGTCTTGTTATTGTTCCCACCACTCGCCATCTTGTTAGAGTTGTCACTGGATTCCATTTCATAGGTCACTATGTCGTGATTTTTCAGATTTTACTGCTAGTTATTAACAAACTGGTAACTGCTTATGGATGTTGGCTATAAAACTCTACCTCCTCCTACAAGTTTATTAAGACTGAACTGATTTTTATCTCTATTAGTAACCTCTTAAGACTAAGATTAGTTTATATCATTGATATGCAAATTCACACTCCTGGTACTGCTCTTTGGAGGCATGCTGCTCTACTAACTAAATTGATGCTGCAACTGCTATTACATTTAGTATTGATACTGTTACTGTTGACTCTAAATAGTAGGTTGTTGTTATAGGAACATATGTGGGTTCTATGGCATGACTCCATCATTGTACTTTATCTCAAACTGCTCCTTCATTGTGGAATTCTTGAAATTTCCCGTGTTAAGCTGGCTTATGCTTAGGTTGTTGCCAGCAGTGTTGGAATTGGAGTTGCTTGCTTGATTGCTCTGATTGTGGTGGGCACTGGGTGAATGCAAGCGCATTTGCCTATCAGGATAGGTGCTGCTTAGTGAGAATAAGTTCTCTTAGTCATTCATCAGCATGTTGTTAGTAGTGTTATACTGCTAGAGGATGTCGTTGCGTTCATTATTTGTAGTCTCGAGATACATGCTGCTCTCAGTATTGATGAGGTTGTTCTGCTAGGGATTGAGATTACTCATGCGAGTGCCTCTGCTGTTAGATTTGTTTAAAATCGACTAGGTCAAGTTAAAGTCTGAGTTGGTATGCTGATTCAGAGTAAAGGCATGCACCTAGTTGTAGTTATCAGTTCTGTTTGAGAAATATTGGGATGTCGGAGATTTGGACAAGTCACTAAGTAGATTTTGATCATCATTAGTGAGATTATTCTGTAGATCAGCCACTCTATTTATTTGCTATTTGATGTTGTTGGATGAAGAGGAGTTGACTAGATTTGTATTTGAGGTTTTCCTCATCAAGGGCACGTTCAAATTGTACTGCATATTGCTGCTAGTCCCTTCAATGGCTAGTGATGGCTGAGTAGTAATCACCTGAGATTGCTGATTCATCTGCAAATTGCTCATGTTTTGCTGCAGTTGCTGTTGTTGCTGCTAGAAATAGTGAATCATTTTCTCTTGATTTCTGTTGAACTATTCCAGATTCTAGATCTACTGCACAAACAAGTCTCTCTCTTCTCTGAGGTTTTGGTTTTCATAGTCGTACTTGGAGATCTTTTCAGCCATCTCTTTAAGGTCTTGCTCCACCTTCAAAGTCAGATTCACGTGATTTCTCTCCTACTCAAGCATCTCTATCTTCTTCTGCATGTTTTCATTGGCTTTTCTAAGCTGCTCAAAAGCTTCCTTGTACTGTGGAAGAAGTGACTGCTGTTCAGATTTGGTCTTAATCTCCTCTAGTTGGTCCTGAAGTCTCTGATTGCGCTCGTTCAGAGTAATGTTTTCATCTAGCACTCGCTTGGACTGCTCTCTCAAAGAAATCATCTCTTGCTAAATACGCTGCAGGCCTTCGAACTATGACTGGGTCAAAGCCATTTGATGCCCTTGGTTGTAGGTTGATGAAGACTGCTGGAAGCTTTGATTGTAGGAGTTAGCTGTATTCTCAAGTTGGTTTTGAGAATTCATTACTAGTGGGATGTTGTTCTAACTAACGTTGTTACTATTACTGACATGCTATTATTTATCAGATCTATTTTAGTGATACTTCCTAATCGAAGGGGTTTAGTCTTCGTTTGGCGGTTTATGCTATTTATTAGTACTGTCTATAATCTACTATTAATGCTGGTACATTGCAAGCATTTACTGCTGCTGATTATAATCAAAATTCTATTGCTAATCATCTACATTTATACTTTCGCCACTGTACATTATAGCATCTGGAGCGATCTTCATATCCTTTTCTTCCATACTACGGAAACAGATATTATTTGGCTTGATGTTATCGCCCTCCTAACTCAGAGTAACTTCATCGTATGGTCTGATTCCATTTTAGTGACTGCTTTCGAAGTTCTACTGATTTACCATCTAGATTTGCTCAAATAGGTCATTAATTGGGTTAATCATAAGGCATTGCTTGTCTATTTAAGAAGCTATTCCCTGCAGATGCCTCAAATTTTCAAGCATGCTCTATTGCAACTGGCTTCTTTGCTTCAGTTCTCTAATGTCATTTTCCTCTTTGATTCTAAATATGGTCTCGTAGTTTTTAGTCTCTTACTCTATTTTAAGTTTCAACTCTTCGATCTGCACCTGTAAATTCTCTATTTCTCTTCTGAAGTCCTTAGCTATCATTTTATACTTCTCAGCCTTAGTGAAGAATTCGTCAGATTTATCTTACTCTTAGTGAAACTTGTCCTTAATTGACTTGTTTTCGGACTCTAATTCGTGCATCTGCTTTTTAAGAGTGTCTATTTTAAATTTTTACTCGTAGATTTTATTCTTAGCCTGAGCTAACTCTTTAGATAAATGCTCTTATTCTTGGTCTCTGTCATATTTGCAGCTAGAGCTATATCTAGACTCTGTGTGATTTCTTGTCTGAGTGTTGTAATGAGATGTTGACTTCTAGTCATCCTCTGCCGTTTCACTCGGAATGTTATAGATTGGATGGTGATCTTGATCCTCTTCTTTAGTTCTTCTCTTGTCCAGCGATTGATGATCTAGAAGTGGATAATTATTAATGTCCTTTAAACTTACTTCTAGGAGTATGGTTGAAGCTGTAGCAGTTTGCTCTTGGATTATTCTGCTGAGTTGAATGATGAACTGGCTTATAATGAGAGCTACCTCTGCTTCTGCTCTGACTTTTTTGTGAGTTACTGCGTTCATTAGGCGAGAATACCCTTCCCCTTACTTATGTGTCCCCGTGCTTTTAATGAGATGTAGTTGTTGAGTTACCTACTCCAAACATATCTAATTTCCTCTTATTGGTCTGTATGTATGTCATATCCAGGCTTTCCCTTCCAGATCTCCTCTTTTTCTTGGACAGGGAAGTCTTCTTACTATTTTTAGTGTGATTATTATTGTTTTGCACTGTTGTTGTGGTTGTATTGTGATTATTGAAATTTTCTGTGAGTTTAATCTTGAACTTCTTGTTCGATCGGCCCTCGTTTGCATGCGATTTTTTAGCTGGCTAGTTGAAGTTTTTAGCTAATGTATACGAAGGAGACTTAGGCCTGGACTTAGAACGATAAGCTGCATAATTAGCTGTGCCGATTGATTTTCTATGCTGTGATTTTTTACGATTCTGCATATTTGTTTTTCTTAATAAAGTTTTTAAAATTGAAAATTAACGATACTTATTTTGATGCTTTATTTAGAGTTCAGGGGTTTTGGGGTTTTGGGGTTTTGGGGTTTTGGGG